ACATCACAATCCTACCCAGGAGAACCTGTAATTGAACTTTGCTGCAACATTCATCTCTATTATAAATATATGCACCCAGGTATATGTGCACAATTCCACCAGGACTCTTACTGGCCCTTTGCTGATAATACCTGTTTGTGCAATGGATGTATGTACTATTATTATTTATTTCAGGTACTTATATAGCGCCGTCAATTTACGCAGCGCTTTACATATATATCGTACATTCACATCAGTCCCTAACCCTCAAGGGGTGTACAATCTAAGGTCCTTAACTAACATTCATACATACACATACTAGGGACAATTTAGACAGGAGCCAATTCACCTACCAACATATCTTTGGAGTGTGGGAGGAAAGCGGAGTACCCGGAGAAAACCTATGCATGCACAGGGAGAATATGCAAACTCCAGGGAGGTGGTGCCGTGGTTGGGATTCGAACCAACGACTCTAGTACTGCCAGGCGGAAGTACCAACCATTTAGCCACTGTGCTGCCCATTTAAACATTTTTTTCTTTTTTAAAAGTTTGTATTATATCCATACTGGTGCACATCTGTATACTTATGGTCATTGTTATATGCTGGTTGTAGTAGAACCTCTACTCCCAGTTACTTTGATTAGTTTACTGGTTAACCTTTCCGGAAGGGAATCCCTTCTGTTCACAGAGACCCTATCATGGGTGGAGGCACTGCCAACGTTTTTTTTACAATTTAAATCTTTTACTTAGGGCGGCCATACATCGAGCAAATTTGGCTGGTTCAGCAAGGGCCGGCCAAATTTCAATCCATGTATGGGGTAGGCTGGTTGTTGATCTATTGGTTGACTATGATCCTATCAGATTTTTCATGATCAATCAATGCCGCCAGTTACAGCCAGGAGCACAGATCCGTTGTATTCTGATGGTGGGGAACCATCTACCGGCAGAACACAATAGTGATTTCCCCATCCACCTCAAATGTGTGGATGGGGGAATCAAATATTTTTTTTTTTTTTGTCGTTCAACCCCCTGATTGTATGATTAATGTATAGCCAGCCTTAGTGAAGGTTCTGGTTCTCTTTTTTACCTACAGGTATAGTGCAATATCCTTTTTGGGGAGGGCCATTTGTCATAACCCCAAAAGACGGATACAGCTATAAAGGCTGCTGCTCTCATGAAAACAACCATCTGACACAATGTTTATAAACACTGTTCAGATGCCAAATAGTGAGATATAAAGCAATATTGTTATAATATTATTAATATTGCTTTTCCATCTATAGATCAAAGGGATCAAAAAAAGTTTTGATATGAATATGATGTCAGTTAAGGCAACCTAACAAAGAAAAATGTTTTAAATAAGATTTGTTCCTAGTTAATCCGTTGTTAACGCTAATCTCCCATAATTACTCCTCCCCCTTCTCCCTTCACTATTATTTTCCCTAATTTATTTTTATATTTTTCTAATCAGGGAAATTTTAAATTTTTTTTAAATTTATTTTTTAGTGTCATATTAAAGAAAACACAAAACTGAAAGAAAATAAAATGCTTGTAAATAACTTTCTAATACCTTGTACCAGAATTATAATTTTAGTGAAATTTTAAATGCAACAAATTATAATACACTTTGCTGCCTTAAATAATGACAAAGTCATCTGCAAATCCGTAGAATGATAGCGTAGGTTAAAAAATGTCTGTTTAGCTGCGTTTGCATACCGCGTTTATACGTGTGTATGAGCGTTTGCGTTTAGAAGCGTTTTTTTAAGATAACCTCAGGAGACCTTCCAAAATGCCCAGAATGGACTGAAAAACAGTAAAAAATTAACTATTTCAGACATTTTGAGAGAAATAGAGAGAGCAGAAGCAGAGAGAGCAGTATGTGTTGAGATGACCTGTCTTTTCTGGTTGTATTCACTATGGATCCCATCATGAGCATAATGTGGCGCGTTCTACCATTGTTTCCTTCACACAGAACCTGGAACTGGCTGCGCTGGTGTACTAGGCCATTTTTAATACATGGAAAACACTTTGCATGCATTTCTGATGATTGAAAAAAGGCTCTGGACAGCATCTGTATATGGAACAGTTAAAAACGCTTCTAAACGCAAACGCTTTTAAACGTGGTTAACCGCATTTACAAGCATTTGGATTTTGAAACGCTGATAAAATCTACTCCTGAACGCAAGTTTGGTGCGCTCAAAAAAACGACTGTAAACTCAACTGCCTGTAAATGACGTGTACATGGACACATAGGAAGACATTAGGGAGAGTTCAGGGGCTGCTGAAAAAAACGCAGTTTATCAACTGCAGTGTACATGAACCCTTAATGCATAGAGGGCGTACAGGGCTGAAAGCTGAACTGGTTAAACAGAAAACAAAAATATCACACTTATAGTGTTTATTTCAGGTACTTATATAGCGCCATCAATTTACGCAGTGCTTTACGTATATATTGTACATTCACATCAGTCCCTAACCCTCAAGGGGCGTACAATCTAAGGTCCCTAACCCTCAAGGGGCGTACAATCTAAGTCCCTAACCCTCAAGGGGCGTACAATCTAAGGTCCCTAACCCTCAAGGGGCGTACAATCTAAGGTCCCTAACCCTCAAGGGGCGTACAATCTAAGGTCCCTAACCCTCAAGGGGCGTACAATCTAAGGTCCCTAACCCTCAAGGAGCGTACAATCTAAAGTCTCTAACTCACATTCATACATACACATACTAGGGACAATTTAGACAGGAGCCAATTCACCTCCCAGCATGTCCTTGGAGTGTGGGAGGAAACCAGAGTACCCAGAGAAAACCCACGCAGGCACAGGGAGAACATGCAAACTCCAGGCAGGTGGTGCCGTAGCTGGGATTCAAACCAGCGACCCGAGTACTGCGAGGTGGAAGTGCTAACCATTTAGCCACTGTTTTTAGCAATAATAGTTCTATTATCTATGTTAGTGTTGATCCTAAACCTTAAAAGGTGTTGGGTTTGATTTTTTTTTTTTTTTTTTTCATTTAGATGTTCCAAGCCAAATCCAAATGTTAGCGTTATTTTTTGATTATTTTTGAAGTTTAAATTGCCAAAAGCCTTCTGGAACAAAGGAACCAAAGACTGTTTTTTCCTGTAATCTGCCTCTGTTGTTGCCTGGGCTTTGACTACCAGTGACAGATGGCCCAATCAGTCTATCATTTGACTCTGGTAGAATTCTTTTAAAGGAAATTGCTAAATTAACCTGAAAATCGTGTCACCTAGTAGGTGATGATAACCAATCGTTAGAAGGTTGGCCAGGCTCCAGTCTAGTGCCATTTTTAAATTTTTTAAATATAAAACTACACTTTTATAACCATCTACAGTAGGTCTACAGTACGAGAAAACATCCATAAAACATTGATCTGCCCTATTTGAGCTTAAAATGTGCATCTATACCTTGTGTTCTGGTGACGTTAGCTTTGGTCCCATAATATTGGTCAGTAGATAGCTATTTGATGGGGTAAGAACATCTTTTGGGTTCTTGGCATTGCTGTCTGTGTCCTTGTTGGGAAGATTTTTCAAGAAATAGGTTTTATTTAAGTTTTCAACATAGTACACAAAAAGGGCACATAAGGGCACATAAGTAAGAGGCATGCTCCTCCATCCAAAGGTTCTGAGGTAGGTACATTAGAAGATACAGGGTACACAGGAAACAATGTGTTATGAAGTTGGCTGATGTTACAATAATAAGCAAGGAAGTCATGATTGTACGTATGGTTGGAGATGCGCCATCCTTGCTGCAACACCTAGACATTGGAGTAGGGACCAGACTGTCAGGGATCGTTGACTCTTCCGCGATACGCCGGGCAGCGCATGCGCAGAGCACCGATACATTCTAGCCAGCAAGCAGCGGGACCTACGCGATCGTGACGGCCGCGCATGCGCACTCGCAATCGCGGACACGCACCTGGCACCAATGACAGCGCAGGGCGCGCTATTTAAACAGGACATGAGGTATGTCAAATTGCCGTTTGGTCTTTATTGCCTGTTCTTGTTATCTGATCCTGTGAAGCTTCTGTTGCCGACCTCTGCATTGTTCCTGACCCTGCTGATTGTCTCCTGTCTGACCCCTGGCTTACCTGACCATCCTTCTGTCTGATCCTCTGTACCGCGCTACCCGCTAGTTACTGAACCCGGCTTGTGACCCTGACCATTCTCTGCCTGCTGGTCTGGTACCTCGCTGCCCGCACGTTGCTGACCTGGCCTGCCTGACTACGCCTAACGCTACCCTGACGATTCATCCATCCCGCACGGATCTATCCCTGTTACCAGGCCTGCCAACCTCTTCACGTCAGGCTCCAATACCCGAACACCTCTGGCGGCGCTCTCTACCATTTCAAGACATACTCAAGGGTGGCGACCTGGTCTCAGTCTGCTCCAAGTCCATGCCCACCATCAGGGGCCCTGGTGAACAAGCAGATTGGGACTTAGACCCCGCGCCCTGTGGAAACCCCGTGCCGTAGGCTGCTAGAGATGCCGCCAGGCGGTGCTTGACACAGACAGAAGGAAAGAAGGCGGGGGAAGAAAGGTTGGGAGTCCAGCAAGCTGAGTCCTGAGGTGCCAACACTAGTACCATGACCAGGGGCGGACTGACAACTCATGGGGCCCCCGGGCAATAGGGGATCATGGGGCCCTTGTGTCCTTGCCCAAACTCAGAAAAAGCCTATGAAAAAGGTACCAGGGGCATCTCATGGGGCCCCCTACTGACCCCGGGCCCTCGGGCAGTGCCCGAGTTTCCAAATGGTCAGTCCGCCCCTGACCATGACACCAATAAATTGGGTCAAAGAAGGGAATGGAGATGGGAAGAGTTAAAGAATTCCATCCAGATACAACATGTCGCAGCAAAATGTTGGCATCAGTCATGTAAATTGGCAGTTCATTTCTCAATTCTCATGGTAAAGTACGTGATTAAGTACATTGACCAACCCTGATATGTGGATCAATGGTCTATCACCTGTGTTTGGGGATGAGTGCCCTATCTGCAGAGAGGAGGAATAATAAGAGACCTTTCTTTGCTACCTAAAGGATCCTCGGAGTATGGAGAAAGCTATGGAGGAGTCCCTGGTCATGTTGTATCCCTAATTTGGTTACATAAATTGAAAACTTTCTTCCAAACAGGCCTGTGCCCCCAATCATGTGATGTTTTCTTTTTTGCTGACCTTTTTGTCATTACTGTGTCCTGTATTGGTGTAGGGGTTGGTGGAAGGAACCACAGAGCACATCAGCAGACCAGGCATCTGATACACCTGTATGTTGGATATGAAGATGTTTCAGGCAGTCATAGATCACAGGTCAGGTGAGTACAAACCAGGGGCGGACTGACAAATCATGGGGCCCTGGGCAATAGATGATCTTGGGGCCCCTGTGTCCTTGCCCAAACTCAAACAAGCCTATGAAAAAGGTACCAGGGGCATCTCATGGGGCCCCCTACTGACCCCGGGCCCTCGGGCAGTGCCCGAGTTTCCAAATGGTCAGTCCGCCCCTGGTACAAACCCCCTTTTTGACATTTTTTTTCTCAGCAACAGAGTTGTTTGAAATGTTAAGGTAAGGGGGGTAGATTATTCTTGGGATAGGTGATACAGGGATTGTAATAGGTGATACCTGGGAGGAATGAAACTGACATTTGTTCTTCATAGTAGAAGCCCCTTGCTGAGGTGTACTGCTCCAGGTTCCATGAGCCAAAAACTAACATTCGGGATAATACAACATATGAAAATACACAGTTATCTGTAACTCATAAAATACCCTCTCCAGAAATGTTTTCTCAAAGCCCCTTTGACTTCTTTGTTCCTCAGGCAGTATATTATTGGGTTTACGACTGGCGTCAGAATTCCATACAAGAGAGATGCTACATTTTCCAGCTCAATGGAGTAACCTCTTGGTCCAACGTAGTTAAGGATAGCTGTGCTGTAGAACACCGTGACTACAATGAGATGGGAGGAGCAGGTAGAAAAGGCCTTGGATCGTCCTTCAGAAGACTTGATCTTCATGATGGTGGAGATGATGTGGACGTAGGTTATAACGATATAAAGAAATGGGGTGAAGCCAAGGAACACGCTGACGACGTATAATAATATTTTGCTGGTCTTGGTGGGGTTACAGGCTACTTGTACCAATGGTGGAACATCGCAAAAAAAATTATTTACACTCTCATCCCTCTGACAGAATGTAAGTTTGGAAGCCATGACCGTGTGAAGGATAGAATCAAGAAACCCACTCAACCATGATGTAGCTGCAAGGCCGGCACAAAGTTTCATTCTCATGAGCACCGGATAACGTAATGGGTTGCATATGGCAACGAAACGGTCATACGCCATCACAGCCAAAAGAATACACTCAGCTCCACCTAGGGAGACGAACAGATACAACTGTGCAATACAATTCACAAAGGAAATCTTTTTGTTGCCTGTCGCACAATTGAATATCATAATCGGGAGAGTGGTGGAGGAGTAACAAGTGTCCAACACAGAGAGGTTACTAAGAAAAAAGTACATCGGGGTGTGCAGATGTGCTTCAACCCTAATGATGATAAAAATGCAGAAATTGCCAATCAGGATAGTGCAATAAATGAGGGATAACAAAAAGGTGATGATTAGGAACCGATCATTGGAAAAATTCAACAATAAAATATTCTTCACCATTGTTTGGTTCTCGTACTTGTGCACTGCAGTAAAGGGCATCTAAAACAAAAATGTCACTCGTGAAGGAACATATTTGAATTAAAACTCTGGGGTAGATCATGTAGTGTCATATGCCCAGGGGCGGACTGACCATTTGGAAACTCGGGCACTGCCCGAGGGCCCGGGGTCAGTAGGGGGTCCCATGAGATGCCCCTGGTACCTTTTTCATAGGCTTTTTTGAGTTTGGGCAAGGACACAGGGGCCCCATGATCCCCTATTGCCCGGGGGCCCCATGAGTTGTCAGTCCGCCCCTGCATATGATATAACAATATCATTTTCTAATGACGGGGACATAGAGGCCTGGCCAAACTGTTGTCTTAACTTTTCCCCTTTGCCAACCTGTTAAAGCCCTTGCCGGTTAACAGTTCATCATCCACTCATCTACCTATCCCATATATTCTCCATCAATAGTTGACCTACGGTACATACAGCGCCTTGAAAAAGTATTCATACCCCTTGAAATTTTCCACATTTTGTCATGTTACAACCAAAAACGTAAACTAATTTTATTGGGATTTTATGGGATAGACCAACGCAAAGTGGCACATAACTGAAGTGGAAGGAAAATGATAAATGGGTTTCAAAATCTTTTAAAAATAAATATCTGAAAAGTGTGGCGTGCATTTGTATTCAGTCCTCCTTTACTCTGATACCCCTAACTAAAATCTAGTGGAACTGTTTGCATTCAGATTTCACCTAAGTAGTAAATAGAGTTCACCTGTGTGTAATTTAATCTCAGTATAAATACAGCAGTTCTGTGAAGCCCTCAGAGGTTTGTTAGAGAACATTAGTGAACAAACAGCATCATGAAGGCCAAGGGACACACACCAGGCAGGTCAGGGATAAAGTTGTGGAGAAGTTTAAAGCAGGGTTAGGTTATAAAAAAGTATCCCAAGCTTTGAACATCTCACGGAGCACTGTTCAATCCATCATCTGAAAATGCACAACTGAAAACCTACCAAGTCTTGGCCGTCCACCTAAACTGACAGGCCGGGCAAGGAGAGCATTCATAAGAGAAGCAGCCAAGAGGCCCATGGTAACTCTGGAGGAGCTGCAGAGATCCACAGCCCAGATGGGAGAATCTGTCCACAGGACAACTATTAGTCGTGCACTCCACAAATCTGGCCTTTATGGAAGAGTGGCAAGAAGAAAGTCATTGTTGGAAGAAAGCCATAAGAAGTCCCGTTTGCAGTTTGTGAGAAGCCATGTGGGGGACACAGCAAACATGTGGAAAAAGGTGCTCTGGTCAGATGAGACCAAAACTGAACTTTTTGGCTGAAAAGCAAAACGCTATGTGTGGCGGAAAACGAACACTGCACACCATCCTAAACACACACCATCCCCCCACTGTGAAACATGGTGGTGGTAGCATCATGTTGTGGGGATGCTTTTCTTCAGTAGAAACAGGGAAGCTGGTCAGAGCTGATGGGAAGATGGATGGAGCCAAATACAGAGCAATCTTAGAAGAACACCTGTTAGAATCTGCAAAAGACTGGAGACCGGGGTGGAGGTTCCCCTTCCAGCAGGACAACGACCCGAAACATCCAGCCAGAGCTACAATGGAATGGTTAAGATCAAAGCATCTTCATGTGTTAGAATTGGCCCAGTCACAGTCCAGACTGAAATCCAATGGAGAATCTGGCAAGACTTGAAAATTGCTGTTCACAGATGCTCTCCATCCAATCTGACAGCTTGAGCTATTTTGCAGAGAAGAACGGGCAGAAATGTCCCTCTCTAGAAGTGCAAAGCTGGTAGAGACATCCCCAAAAAGACTTGCAGCTGGATTGCAGCAAAAGGGAGTCCTAAAAAGTATTGACTCCGGGGGGCCGAACACAAATGCGCCACACTTTTCAGATATTTATTTGTAAAAAAATGTTGAAAACCATTTCTCCTTTTCCTTCCACTTCAAAATTATGTGCCACTTTGTGTTGGTCTACCACATCAAAACCCAAGAAAATACATTGACATTTTTGGTGGTAACATCACAAAATGTGGGAAACTTCAAGGGGGAGGAAGACTTTTTCAAGGCATGATCCACCATTGGCACTCTCAGGAAGCCAACCCAGAGTGATGATGTGAAGCTAATGCTGATTAGCATGCAGATAGACAGGAAATGGCTGAATGAGAAACTGTATTTTATGAAAAAAAGTGAAAATTATTTGGGATACATACGTAGGGCTCTAGCAAACTTAATGTCATCCAGTTACGGTTTCGAAACTTGCTACACCAGGAAAGGGCATGACTGTAGGGTAGGGGTATTATCAGGGGCGGACTGACCATTTGGAAACTCGGGCACTGCCCGAGGGCCCGGAGTCAGTAGGGGGCCTCATGAGATGCCCCTGGTACCTTTTTCATAGGCTTTTTTGAGTTTGGGCAAGGACACAGGGGCCCCATGATCCCCTATTGCCCGGGGGCCCCATGAGTTGTCAGTCCTCCCCTGCCAGTATCGCAAAAAATGGCGTGGTCAGGATGGGGGGGGGGGGGGGTAAATCCTCTGGAGGGCAAGTGGCTGAAAGACGATACAATGTGGCCAAAGATCAACAAAGTATTAGTGGAACAAACAGATCCCTATATATGATAATATCCTGTTGTTACAGAATGACCAAATGCCTGACCTATCTTTGTCTGGGATAAAAATTTCTGCTGGTTTCTGACGCTGATTTCAGTTTAAAAAAAAAAATACGAGCAACAAACCACGTTGTTATAAAAAGCTAATTTAAAAAGCAATAAAAAAAAAATAAGCAACATACCTTAGCATTTGATAAAATAGTTGTGTATTATTCTAGAGACATGACAAAAAGATAATAAACACTACAGAAAGGAGCTCGAGGGAAGGGTTTGTAGGCTATAATAACAATACTTTATTCCATCATCATCATCATTATTATTATTATTATTATTATTGGTATTATTATTGGTATTGTGCTATGACATTCTATATCTTGAAAGCTGACGCCATGCACTTCCTTAGCCCGCATCTATATAATGAGAACACCGAATGTTCAGAGAATTTATGCTAAAAGCAGAACCTACTGGGAATTTCTCCTCCCACCGCCGCTATTAATATAATTGGATAATAATATATAGTAAGAACACAAACAAAACACCATTAATGAATGAATACATTCAAAATAATAAGCTCTCAAGTGCAGGACCCTTTTAAACACTCTTTTCTTCAGCAAACTGTTGGCACTATATAAATCCTGAATAATATTAACCCCTTGACGCTGACAGTGCGCAAATATGCGGCCTCTCGGCGGCTGGGCCTTGACGCCGAGCGGCCGCATATTTGCGTACCATTTGAAAACACATAGGTATTGAGAGTGTGCAACCTGCACGCTCCCAGCATATATGTCGGTGTCTCACGGAAAGGTCCCGATCTCCCCTTGCGATTGGGACCTTTTCTGATCATGGGACTGCCGTAATCACATGACCCTAAAACCGCGCCCGGCTTCTGAAACCTCTTAAAAGGACTGGAAGGTGCCGGCGCGAAGAGGTTAAAGTGATTCTAAAGGTTTTTTTTTTTTAAGAAAAAAATAACAAATGTGTCTATACTTACCTGTTGTGTTAAGTGGTTTTGCACAGAGCAGCCCAGATCCTCCTCTTCTTGGGTCCCTCGCAGGCTCTCCTGGCCCCTCCTTCCTGTCGGGTGCCCCCACACCAAGCAGCCTGCTATGGGGGCACTGTGTGTCCATTCACACATGGAGCCACATCTCGGCCCTGCCTCCTCTCTCTTCTCATTGGCTCACTGGTGTGATTAACATGGGCTCCAACTTCTGTCTCAGCCAATGAGAAGAGGGAGTCCTGGGATAGCCGAGACTCCAGTGCACATCGCTGGATCGATAGCGGGCTTAGGTGACTATTGGGGAGAGGGGGCTGGAGGGGATGCTACACACAGGTTTTTTATCTTTGTGCATAGAATGCATGAAGGTATATAGTGAATGCAGGGTGCGGGGAGACCAGATATAGTGAATGCAGGGTCCGGGGAGACCAGATATAGTGAATGAAGGGTGCGAGGAGACCGGATATAGTGAATGAAGGGTCCGGGGAGAGCGGATATAGTGAACGCAGGGTCCGGGGAGAGCGGATATAGTGAATCAAGGGTTCGGGGAGACCGGATATAGTGAATGCAGGGTCCAGGGAGAGCGGATATAGTGAATGCAGGGTCCGGGGAGAGCGGATATAGTGAATGCAGGGTCCGGGGAGAGCGGATATAGTGAATGCAGGTTCCGGGGAGAGCGATTATAGTGAATGCAGGGTACAGGGAGTGTGGATATAGTGAATGCAGGGTCCGGGGAGAGCAGATATAGTGAATGCGGGGTCCGGGGAGAGCGGATATAGTGAATGCAGGTTCCGGGGAGAACAGATATAGTGAATGCAGGGTCCAGGGACAACGGATATAGTGAATGCAGGATTCGGGGAAACCAGATATAGTGAATGCAAGGTCCAGGGAGACCAGATATAGTGAATGCATGGTCCGGGGATACCAGATATAGTGAATGCGGGGTCCGGGGAGAGCGGATATAGTGAATGCAGGTTCCGGGGAGAACAGATATAGTGAATGCAGGGTCCAGGGACAACAGATATAGTGAATGCAGGATTCGGGGAAACCAGATATAGTGAATGCAAGGTCCAGAGAGACCAGATATAGTGAATGCATGGTCCGGGGATACCAGATATAGTGAATGCAGGGTCCGGGGAGAGTAGATATAGTGATTGCAGGGTCCGGGGAGAGCGGATATAGTGAACGCAGGGTCTGGGGAGAGCGGATATAGTGAATGAAGGGTTCGGGGGGAGCAGATATAGTGAATGCA